AATAAAAAGAATATTTGTTAAAAAATATTTATGTATAAAGTAATTTTTCTATAAGTATATTCTTGAAATCGAGCCAAATATGGACGTAAATTAAATTAAATTTCTTTGACCATCGGAATTCTTAGTTGATTTTTCTCACTTTGGTTGATATTCTTCTCTCACTTTGAAATGTGGTGACATAATAAATAAATAAACAAACCAAATAATATTTCGAGACAATATCGATTGCGTGTTTCGATCAAACTTTTAGTTATTTGGAAAGATTAATCGTCAAAGTTACTAGAACAGTACTCTTTAAGTAATTTTTTAAATTTTCATTGGATATGTATTTTTCTTATTTCTATCATGATTCAGTTAATTTATATTTTTTAAGGCAAGCATTGATTTTCTATTTGGTAAAAAAAGAAAAAAAAAATACAAAGATTTAGTGGAATATTTTAATGTGAGACATTTAAACTTTTTTATTTCATTGAGTTCCATATATTTTTTTATCGTGAATGTCACGAGAATAGCCTCCGAAACTCAATTTTTTGTGGCACGAGTTCATTTGAAATTTTTTAAGTTTCAACCCATCCTAACATCATTTTCTGGCACAGCCCTGTGCAAGCATTAATACAAACCAATAAGGCAGAACCTACTAAAACAACCAGTGTTACGATGGCATAGACAGGTTCATCTCCACAAGAAAGTATGCCCAGGTTCACCTGAACGAAATCCACAATCGAAAGCATCAAGAACACACATCCCATTACTGATCCAATGGCGGAGCTAAACAAGGCGTATTTGTGGAAGGAAGAGTCAATATCAGCTTTTACTGATCCAATGGCGGAGCTAAACAAGGCGTATTTGTGGAAAGAAGAGTCAATATCAGCTTTATGAGGGTCAGTTGCATCTAAATTGTTCAACAAGTTGATTGCCAGTTTGAGACTTTGCGCTATGAGTGAGGAAAAGAAAAAAACTGAACGAAATCACTTCAAAAACGATAAGTCTCCTGATTGTTTCGACGCTAGCGGTTCATGATGCCGGATTCCTGGCGTTACCAGCAGCAGGCACTGTTAGGGAGAAGCCTATGAGGATTGCCATGGTGAAAAGTGAGTTGACGTTCACTATGCCGTCGAGGTCTGTTACATGGACGCTCAGCTAGGACTTCCTCGTGGCAGCGGTGGTGGTGGCGACGGCGGCGATTGTATGGTTCTGTGTGTCCAACGAAGCTTTTGATAAAAATTAATGAAATATATGATCAAAAAGTTGATAAAGTTGTGGATTCCATAAAATGTGCGATGAAAATTGAAGTTTGATTAAAAAGTTGATAACGTCTACTGAATTTTTTAAATCAGGTTGTTAAAACAAATAGATAAGTCCAAGCCATATCCCTAACAAATAAAAGAGCCACTTTTGAAATCACTATTCACAATTTAGTCCAGTCAGCGACGTCGTTTTCGAATTAAAAAAAAAAAAAAAAAAAAAAAAAACAAAATAACAAAATATAAAC